GAGCGGCTTAAAGAGCTGGGCATGTTTAGCCTGGAGAAGAGAAGGCTGAGAGGAGACATGATAGCCATGTATAAATATGTGAGAGGAAGTCACAGGGATGAGGGAACAACCTTGTTTTCTGATTCCTTGGAGACTAGGACACGGAACAATGGCTTCAAACTACAAGAAAGGAGATTCCATCTGAACATTAGGAAGAACTTCCTGACTGTGAGAGCTGTGCAGCAGTGGAACTCTCTGCCCCGGAGTGTGGTGGAGGCTCTTTCTTTGGAGGCTTTTAACAGAGGCTGGATGGCCATCTGTCAGGGGTGCTTTGAATGCAATATTCCTGCTTCTTAGCAGAATGGGGTTGGACTGGATGGCCCATGAGGTCTCTTCCAACTCTTGATTCTATGATTCTATAACTGGAGGTGCTTTGTTTTTGGGTTTTTTTTGTTTGTTTGTTTGTTTGTGTCAGGAGCAACTTGGGAAACTGCAAGTCACTTCTGGTGTGAGAGAACTGGCCGTCTGCAAGGATGTTGCCCAGGGGATGCCCGGGTGCTGATAGAAGGAGCTCATTCATGCTCTCCCTGGATTCCAATCTCCAACCTGTTGGTCTTCAGTCCTGCTGGCAAAGGGTTTAACCCATTGCACCACCAGGGGCTCCACTGGAGGTGCAGAGTTATAGGCAACAATCCAGCTTCTTCCACCTCCCTTGCCCCCTTCTCAGGGTCAGGAAGAGCATCTGGCAGCATTTCTTGGGAAACATTTTCACTAAAAACATATCTGTCTATAAAGCAATTCCCATCATCCAGAGGAGAACTACTTTCTCAATGAGACATTACAGGAGTAGGGCAGCTCCATTTCAGGAGCACAAGGCCCCACCACTGAAGGGTCTCCCTCCTTGTCAGATTAGGCCTCAACTATAACACAAGTTGCACTTATCCTCAGAATAACTTATTTTTCCATAACTTAATTAGCAATGTTTATACCTAGGAAAACTCGGTTCCTTCTCAGATGGCGATTATCCCACTCTCCCTTTGAGAAGTATTCCTCTTAGAAGGATTAAAAAAAATCTTTTACGAGTCCCTGGGGTTTTGTTGGCACAGTGGGTTAAAGCCCTGTGCCGGCAGGACTGAAGACTGACAGGTCACAGGTTCGAATCTGGGGAGAGGCGGATGAGCTCCCTCTATCAGCTCCAGCTCCTCATGCGGGGACATGAGAGAAGCCTCCCACAAGGATGATAAAACATCAAAATCATCCGGGTCCCCTGGGCAACGTCCTTGCAGACGGCCAATTCTCTCACAACAGGATGCTCCTGACACGAAAAAAAAAAAAAGCAAATATGGCCACATTGCTAGCCTTTTTTTGGTAAAATATTGTTCATTAATGTTTCTCAGTACTGAAATCAAAAACCATGGAATCATAGAATTGGAAAAAAACGATCCAGGACATCCAGTGCAACCCCCAGCAGTGCAGCAAAAGCACAATCAAAGCACCCCCGACAGATGCCCATCCAGTCTCTGCTTAAAATCCTCTAAAGAAGGAAACTTCACCATGCTCCAATACAGAATATTCCACTGCTAAACAGCTCTTACTGTTGTGGTGGAATCTTTTCCTGCAGTTTGAATCACTTTCTCCATCTCCTACTCTCTAGAGCAGGAGAAAAACAAGCTCCTCAACGTGACACCCTTTCAAATATTTAAACATGGCTATCATGTCCCCTCTTAGCCTTCTTTCCCCTAAACATACCCAGTTCCCTCAGCCATCCCTCACAGGGCTTGACTTCCCTATGGGTTGTATTGGCAAAATAAATTGTTGCTTCTTGTTTAGGTATTTTGTAGCAACCGTAAGAATTGAGCTCAGTTTTCTACTATATTTTTTCAGAGTCTTAGATGGGAAATTTTATAAAATGCTTATTAAAATATTGATTACATACTCTGTCCGGGATGTCAAATTGTCTATCTATTGTATGCACTAGGTAACAATCTTAAATTGTTTAGCTTAGTTTGCTCTTTGTTTAGCATTGTACGGCACTGAATGTTTGCCGCAAGTTGTTGAAAACCACCATGAGTCCCTACGAGGAGATAAGGCAGGATATAAATAATGTTTTATTATTTTTATTATTAAATAGCATCACTATGCAAGAGATCACAAAAACTGACACAAGTTGAGTAAATATGCTGACAAAGATTCATAAGGGAGAAGCAGAACTTCAACAACATAATCTAAGATAATAGTAAAATAAATAGAAAAATAATAACGTCTATGATAGAATCGAGCCCCTGGTGGCATACTGAGCTGCTGAACTTGCTGACTGCAAGGTCGGCAGTTCAAATCTGGGGGGGGGGGGTGAGCTCCTGCTGTCAGCCCCAGCTTCTGCCAAGCAAGCAGTTAGAAAACATGCAAATGTGAGTAGATAAATAGGTACTGCTTCATCAAGAAGGTAACAATGCTTCATGCAGTAATGCCAGTCTCATGATCTTGGAGGCCTCTACAGACAACACCGGCTCTTCAGCTTAGAGTTGGACACAACTAGATTTAATGTCAAGGGGAAGCCTTCACCTTTTACTATGACAGAAATAGAGTAAAATTTTATTTCTTCCCTGTAGGGAGGGAAAGAATTTTAAAAATACTTTGGAATGTGTTGATTGTTGAGACAACCCGAGGAGTGCAATGCTGGAATAATGAAAATCTTTGCATTTCAGGACTACACTACAACACAAACATAATGCTTCCCAGAATGAAGATACTAAGAAGTTATGTTCCACAGCTTCCAAACTGCTACTGAAGATTTACAATTGTCTATATTATTTCCAGTGTTTTTGACAGCATGTGTCTTGGTACTAGTTGGTGAGGAACAAAAAGATGTCATATTTCTAGGTCTTTTGGAGTTATATAATTGATCACTGGGTACAGACTGGTAGACAGATCCATCTAGACTGGTCCAATAATAATAATATAATCATAATTTTTTATTTGTACCCTGCCACCATCTCCCTGGACTCAAGGCGGCTCACAAGAGCACATTCGAAGTGCCAGATATAGAATAAACAATACATAAGCCTCTAAAACAACAACATAAATCCATAAACAATAAACACACATAAACCTCATCTAGGAAAATCTTAAAGTTCATAAAATCCATAAAATCCAACAGCATATATTTCATTTTTGCATGTATCTTTGCTTTATATCCTGGATCCATATCAAGAATTTAAAGGCATGATGCCACCTATATAGACATGCTCTAATAATGTATAGAAAAAAAGTTGGTTAAGCTAGAAGAAATCTCTACTCTGAAAGAAGACAACTACTGGTATTCATTTACCAATTAAAAATGAAAAGATATCCTATCCCATACTGTTTATAAACAATCTGACAATAAGACTATACAAATCAACTACACTATGAATTTTCCTGTTCTGTAGAAAACTATATAATATGAGGCCCTTATGAAATGTTTTGATTTTAATGAGATCACATCACTTTTTTATTCTCTCAACTTTCATCTTCTTTTGGTTTAATACTTTCTGGCTTCAAACTCAACCAATTGTTCTTTCCTTTTTATTTAGGTTATAAAGGGAATTGGCTGAATCTAGGCAGTAAAATACAAGGAAAGGAATTATTAGGTAAAGCATAAAGTAAAACTGGAGAAAGACTGCATGTGATTAATCAGCAAACCATATTTTCTAAATGTTGATATATGTTACTGAGGAGAGAGAGGGAAATTATCTATCTTTTCAGTGTTAAAGTGATTATTATAATTTTATAATTTTCAAAAAGGCCAGTGGTTGTCTTGATAAAAGCAGCATTATTCACATTCAAACAACTTTCCATAAATATTATCACTAGTTCTATAGCAAAGAATACAGAGGCTGGCTAGTATGGCTATTTTTCATAACAATAAAATGTCCATTTTTATCTTGTTATGGCTATGAAATTGATCACGTTCTACATTCTTAATCTGATATTAATATATTCCTGAATATATGAATGAAAGACATTGAGTGGTAAGAAATTCTGAGCCTGGACTGATCCCAGAAAACAATATCACAAATATCAAAGTTCCTGAAATGGCCAGTTGGAAGCTCCTTACATTCTGTTTCAAAATTCAATTCAAATAGAATTTAATTTTATTAATATTCATGACATTATTAGGTCTGGAATACTCAGTTCAGAAAGTCCATACTGTAACTTCATTTATGCCATCCTAATTTTGGAAGGAGAAATATGACATACTATGTCCCTGGGCGGCCCCAAATGAGTTCGTATAAAGATGAATGGAGTCCATGGCACTACCTGGTGCACAGGATCCATTTATCTTAATGCAAGAGAAGGCTGCTGAACACGTTTTTTTTCCTGCATTAAAAAAGTTGTGAGATGGTCTGGAGCTTCCTTGAACAGAAGCAGTTTGAACAATTTGATCACTTCCTATTCAGAAGTGGCTATGGCTGTTCGAGCAACCATCCCAATTTTCCTGGTCTTGGGAAGCCCAGGGACGCAGGAAATCACTTACCTTCCTCTGTTGTTCTGGGCTTAGTAGTGATCACTAGGCACAAAACTGGCAGTAATTATTGTTTGTCATATGAAGTGAAACTAGCCAGAGTGTTAAAGTGATTGGAGAGGGGAAAGGTGAGACCACCTGTAATTTGCATTATTTCGTCACTCTGGCTAACATCTCTAAAGGCAATGAGTGACAACTACCATCAATTTTGTGCCAGATGGTCATCACTAAGCACTGAACAACAGAGGGATCTGCTGGATCATGGAAATGCCATTCAGTCACCGGGCTGGCTTAGTGTCATATAATGCACACACACGCCAGACATTGAGCTGGCAGTGTTGATCCATGTTACTCCACTCTGGATAAGAATCACTGTTTGTGGAATGTGTAGATTGTATCTCAGCCCTCAAGGATCTGACAAAATCTATTTCACATAATGCTGACGATAACGGGATTATCCCAGTCTCTACAGATATTCATAACAGCAGCTCTGATTAGTTACATACAGCTGTTGTACCTGTTAGTCAAGAGTTGAGATCTTGTTCCAGAAGGAGAAGTCAAATAAATTGCCAAATCACCCCTTCGGGGATGTGTAATAGTGATGCGCACTACAACATGCTCCAGATAGACTACATGGTGATTTGGATTATCCGCGCAGCCAGTAGCTTCATATATTGAGCGAACACCATTATCTGGTCCATTACGAATATTATCTGGTCGTATTGTTCTATATCAGAAACAGTAAACATATTTATGGTCTTCAGAAATGATTTTTATCAAAAATTATACATTCAATTCTGATCATGTTGAAAAGGAGTATTTTTATTAATTTTTGATATCTATTCAAATACTTGTTTTCTATTGATTAGATAAAATCAACAATTAATTCAAAGAAATATTATATATTCAAATGAGAAATCATTCAATCTTTGCAAGTAACATGTTTGTAATCCATAAACCACCAAAATATTCCTAACATTTTTCACTAATTTTATTACCATTCATGCAAATAAATTATTAGTGAAAGCTTTAGAAGAAATGTAACAAGTAACTTTATCTATTAGTTTAATTTGATGATTTTAATAGTGTTTTCAAAGGTTAGAGCTAGGCTGATTTTTTTTATTAATAGCCTTGTTGTCCCACTTCAGGACACAAGCATATAAAGTAAATAAATAAATAAATAAATAAGGTGCAGAATTATACATAAGGATTTGCACTTTACCCAGAAATATAACTCTACCCCAGCTCTCATATCACTATATATTTATATATATCTAAAAATAGTATTCTTAGAAGTGAGTTAGTAAAATAATAAAGTTGCATTGATGACCTGAGCTGCCTGCTTTTTAATACTGTGCAGATGACTGATGAACGCATATAGGGCACAGGGGAGAACTGGTGCTTCATTTATAATTTCCATAAATTTATTTCTAAGTCTGGAGAAAGTCTGTGAATATACCAATTACATGTGTGCATGCCTTCTCAAAGTGTTTTGGAGCCCTTCAGTAGGCAGGTCCCTGATTACATGCCCAAAATTACACACGCTGAAGACACAGGGCTCAGATTACAGAATTAATCTTGGGGCAGATGTGTAGCACTACTGATGAGTGAATTTCTATCAGCCTTTCTTAAGCTGATTTCTATCCCGAATTGTGCAAATGAACTTAAGATAACTCTTTCCTAAATGGATGATCACTAGGGATGTGCTGCAACTTTCCAGACTGAAATTTTGTGCAGCTGGAGGATCAGGGGGCTTTCTGCACCACTTATCCAAAGACAGTAGTAGTTGGAATATGTAGTGAAAGTATGGCCACCGGGGCATCTGCTGATCTTAGAGCTGTTTTTAGGACAAGGCCCTATATCTCCCCCCATTTTTTTTACTGTTCTCACATGGTGACTAATTAAGAATTTTACCATTTTTAACTTACAATTTTAAAAAAATCTCAGGCCAATTTTAGGACAGGTAGAGAGTGTCAACTGGGAGTCAATAAATGTCTTTAACAAGAATTACTTGATTTGTCGATCTGTGTTCTCAACACACACATGTCTTTAATAAGTGTCTTTAACAAGAATTACTTGATTTGTCGATCTGTGTTCTCAACACACACATGCTGTGGAGGAACTGTTGTCCACTTTTCTGCTTCCAGAACCATGGCTTCAGCATCCATCAGTCCAAATCCATATAAATGGCTAACTGCAAAATATAAACAGTACTGTTACCATTATGAATTATTTCTTTATTATCTCACTGTTATCAACACCTTTCTTTATTAACTATTTATTTACAACATTTGTACCCTGCCCTTCTCAACCCCGGGAAGTGGTGGTGGTGGTGGTGGTGGTGGGGGCAGACGGACTCATAGCAGTTTTACACATCAGAAATAATTCAATGCCATAAAACATACAATTAATAAACATTTGCGCTAATAACACCGAATTAAAACAACAAACAATTACATCAAATTAAAATCACGTCATCCAAAATTGTAATCCAGAGCCAATCTAGTTGTCATTGCACAGATTCTACATTCACTTATTGCACTGCAGTTATTCTCTAAAAGCTTGGTCCCATAGGCATGCTTTAACTTTCTTTCTGAAAGCAAGGAGCGAAGGAGCTGATCGAATATCATTGGGAAGGGAGTTCCACAGCCAAGGGGACACCACTGAGAAGGCCCTGTCTCTCGTCCCCATCAACCTCATCTGCGAAGGAGGTGGGACTGAGAGCAGAGCCTCCCCAGTTCATAAAGGAAGATATGTTTAGGGCCTTATAGGCTAAAGCCAGCACTTTGAATTGAACTCAATAGCAGACTGGCAGCCAGTGGAGCTGATGCAACAGGAGGGATGTCTTCTCTCTGTATACTATTCAGATGAGTAATCTGGCTACTGCCTGTTGCACCAGCTGAGGCTTCCAAACAGTCTTCAAAGGCAACTACACAGAGTATGTTGCAGTAGTCCATTTGGAATGTAACAGGAGTGTGGCCCACCATGACCAAGTCTGACTTTCTAAGGTATGGGCACAACTGGTGCACAAGTTTTAATTGTAAAAAAGCTCGCCTGGACACCGGCGAAAGCTGAGGTTCCAGGCTCAGTGATGAGTCCAGCAGAACTCCCAAGCTACGGATTGTAATTTGAAGAAACAATTCTACATGACCTGCCTGGAATAGCTAAAAAGACCCATATTCATTATTCTGATGTTAAATCAGATGTACCGTTGATCCACAGGTGAATACTCAATTTATTTTTCTTGCCTTCATATCAATACAAACACAATCACATTATTGAAAAATACAAGTGTCAATTCAGTAATACAGTATTGATTCCAGGAACTGTGCCAAGAAGGCTGCACAATAGTCAGTCATGCTCTAAATTTTCAACTAATTCTGAGCCTGATGTCACAACATGTAGGTTGAAAAGAGATGGATCATACCAGAGTTAAGAAATGTTATGTTTTTGTCTATATCTTGGAGAATTGCATAGTCAGCACTGCTACTATGCCATGTTGGCTGGTCTCTGGGAAATATAATGCAAACACGATTGAAAGGGTGCATCCTGAAAGCCATTGTCCATTTGTGCTCATCTTGGCATTATTGCTACTCAATGCTTTAAAAGTAAATCATAGAAGGGTGAAAGGAATTAATTCCACACTCTTTGTTAATCAAAGAATACAAAAAGGCTACCCGATAGTTAGCAGCAGAAGTCTAGTTTGAAATAGGACAGATTCCAGAGTTTAAGAAGTTTTCCTCTTTCAGTTGTATCCCTTTTCCCAAGGTATACCTTCCACTTCTTCTGTTTAAAACGCTGAGCCTGGATTTTGCTTGTATCAGCACTAGAAAACATCTGCACTGACTGTGTTATATATAAAATATAGATTTATTTTTATGTCTTACTATATTCTGCTATAGTGCTGTAATTCTGTAATTTTGAGATAAGTTCCGGAAAACATGCATTAATCAGCATTAGAAATCCTTGCTTTGACCGAGCAGTGTCCTTATTTCACCACATTCTTCAAAGGATAGGCAGAACTACGAACCCTTTAAAAATAGTCTAATATGTTAAAAGTCTATTTTTTCACTCCTGAGAAAGAGATTACCACCCAAGGTTACAGCGCCTATGTTAAATTCCCATGATTTATTTTGCTCTTAATGTTTCAAAACTTTCTTTTTTGTGATAAGGAATGAGTAGGAGTAAGGAACAGTCAACATTTTAAAAATGCATGCACACGTTAATTCTCCCTTCCCTTCAAGATTAAAGCAAGCCAGAATTCAGTGGTGCTGTTTAAAGTTTTCCATGTGGAAACAGTCCAGACAGCTGATACTTGGCTGTCTGCACCACTTGCACTTCAAAGTCCCTGATCAAATGGGTTTGGCCAGCAGCTGCAGGTATGAAGACAGGCCTATCATTTTCACAGACTAAATAATAACAGTTTGGAGAGACATTACAGAGCTGATAAAAGTAGCTGATCCTCTACATCTTGAAAGAAAAAATGTGTTCATCCACTTAACCCCCCCCCCCCCCCCCCCGGGTACCATAGAGGTATATCCTTCTATTTGGGAATAAATTAGAACTGGTGCTGTTGTTTGCTTGGCATTAACCAATTCTGGAATCTCTGAGAGTGCTATAAAGTCACGTATGCAGCATTATACTAGGCCAGGCATGCCTTCTAAGTAACAATTTACAGCTGTATTTGCCTTCATATCTTCTACAGAAAGATAATTGGATGGGACACGGTCTTATATTTACTGTGAGTTGCACAGTAGAATCTGAAAGGACTACATCAACATTGCTTTTCCTGTGCAAGCAAGGCTGCATTCAGACACTGCACAGTGCAAAGAAGTTATTCCTTCCCTTTTGCTAAATATCTATCTTTACTTAGTAGAGGTAAATCCCATCCTGGGAGGAAAATTTATTTATTTTATTTATTTATTTATTTGTATACTTATATACCGCAATATCTCAGCCTTACAACGGCGACTCATTGCGGTTAACAATACTTAAAAACAACAAAATCAGTTAAAAGCATAAAAAACATGTACAATACACAGTATCGGGCCACCAATACCGACCAATGCATCTCTTAGTTAAAATCATAATCCGAATTCGTCGTCTATAAATTACCAGTCCTTAATCATCAACTTCATCGCACCGGGTTACCCGAATGCTTGTTCAAACATCCATGTCTTAAGTTTTTTCCGAAATACCAACAGCGAGGGAGCTGATCTTATCTCTATAGGGAGGGCATTCCAAAGCCGAGGGGCCACCACAGAGAAGGCCCTGTCTCTCGTTCCCGCCAGCCGCACTTCTGAAGCCGGGGGGACAGAGAGCAGGGACTCTCCAGAAGATCTTAGGGTTCTGGTGGGTTCATAGGCAGAGATGCGGTCAGATAGGTAGCTGGGGCCAGAACCGTTTAGGGCTTTAAAGGCCAACGCCAGCACTTTGAATTGGGCCCGGTAGCAATCGGCAGCCAGTGGAGCTGGTACAGCAGAGGAGTTGTATGCTCCCTGCGCCCTGCTCCTGTTAGTATCATGGCTGCCGCCCGTTGGACTAACTGGAGCTTCCGAGCCGTCTTCAAAGGCAACCCCACGTAGAGAGCGTTGCAGTAGTCAAGACGGGATGTAACCAGAGCGTGGACTACCGTGGCCAAGTCAGACTTCCCAAGGTACGGTCGCAGTTGGCGCACGAGTCTTAACTGTGCGAATGCTCCCCTGGTCACCGCCGAAACCTGGGGATCCAGGCTCAGCGATGAGTCCAGGATCACACCCAAACTGCGAACCTGTGTCTTCAGGGGGAGTGCGACCCCGTCTAACACAGGCTGTAACCCTATACCCTGTTCGGCCTTACGACTGACCAGGAGTACCTCTGTCTTGTCTGGATTCAATTTCAATTTGTTCGCCCCCATCCAGACCGTCACAGCGGCCAAGCACCGGTTCAGGACCTCGACAGCCTCCTTAGTAGCAGGTGGAAAGGAGTGACAGAGTTGGACATCATCTGCGTACAGATGACATCCCACTCCGAAACTGGATGATCTCCCCTAGCGGCTTCATGTAAACGTTAAACAACATGGGGGACAGTATTGAGCCCTGAGGAACCCCACAAGACAATGGTTGTGGGGTTGAACAGGTGTCCCCCAGTAACACCATCTGAGTGCGACCCTCCAGAAAGGACGGGAGCCACTGTAAACAGTACCTCCAAGACCCATTCCCGCGAGGCGTCCCAGAAGGATACCGTGGTCGACGGTATCGAAGGCCGCTGAGAGGTCGAGTAGCACCAACAGGGACACACTCCCCCTGTCGAGCTCCCGACGGAGATCATCCACTAAGGCGACCAAGGCTGTCTCGGTACCATGCCCCGGCCTGAAGCCAGACTTACATTTATACCTGAAAAGCAGGTATAAATGTAATAAACGAATAAAAGAAATACACCACAGGATCCAAGCTCCTACCATGGACCACACTGAGTTTCTGTTCAAAAATGTGGCCAAAATCTACTTTCAATTTGTACACCCGGGTTTTTGGCTCTGCGGGCTTTGGAGAGGATTAGACCATAAAACATGGATGACATTGTTATTTCCTCATTTCTGCTTTGCATCACTGGGTACCTTGGAAACATGATAGAAAGGGACCTCATTCCAATAAAGTATGTTGATATAGTAAAACAGGAATACACATCATGGACCATTACTGTCTTGATTATTTAGCATGGATGCAAAAAGACTATCTAGGAAGTGTAAAAAGGAAAAGGAGGGGATGAAATGGCAATTTAACTCAAAGAACACTAGGAACTATGGAGAAGATATTAATGTTTGTTGCTATTTGCTTGATGATCAAAAAACTAAATTAAAAATTAATTAAAATTAAGTTTGTCTACTCAACATTTGGCAGGGATATCTGGTGCACATTGCATCATTTTCCATAAGCCTGAACCTCCGTATCTCCTTTTGTGAAAACTAAATATTGTTCACATCTTATTGGCATGCATTTACTTCCAAGACTGAGAGGCTCAATCCTTCTCTCCCCCCCAAAGAAATCCACACTAAATTGTTCATTTTCCCTTGCAGGAACTTCCTCTTCATATTAAGCTTCCTAATCTATAGAATTGGTGCAAAACTCAATCCTCTGCTTTTAGTCATAGCTGAAGGGAGTGAGAGGAAGACAAAACAACAGCAAATAGGGAAGGGATAGAGAAAAACTGCAGAGA